GTATAAATATCTTAATTGTTTAGATTTTTAGAAGGCACATTCACTTCGTTCTCATTTACAACTCTGTGTTTGCTGCGTAAAAACATGGTTGATATTTGCATTGATCTGACAAAGAAAGGCTTATTGGAAATGCAAATTCATTCTCTGCCACGAGGTGGCGCTTCAGGAGCTCTGAAATATTGCGGTTTCCCCGGAAACGGCTGTACACAAAGCAGCTCCGCACTCATAAACGCAGTTTTATCAGGAATTATAGGTCAAATTAAATTAAAATGCCAACGACACGTTTCTGAGGACCGTCCGTTCCCTTCAGCTACATTCAAATAAAGACACCCGCACCGCATTTTGACTTGAAACGTGCAGCGCTCACATTTATTCAATGACATCATTGCCTTTTGAAGTTTAATCCAGCCATATCGCAACTCTTGTCTTTCCGTCCCCAACTGAAAGACCTCTTGAAATTATAATTAAGACATTTCTTATACCATTTAACATTTAAACATTTTTATGGCCTTAAATTTGATAACTCGCTTTAGGAGTTTTTAAGGACCCGCAGAAGATCTGTATTTAAGATAACCCGTCGGGCTGAGTGGTGATATATTTTGGTAGCCCGACTGGAAATCACAACAGCCCCGGGACTTCAGGCAAGCGATTTTGCGAGCCCTGTGATGAGAGCTGAACTTAGCACCTACATTTAACAAATATTAGATTAAGGTATAGTGCAAGAATTTGCTTCTAACTTTACTAGTGTTATTTATTCCACCCATAGTTTACTAATCTATTCATTGTGGCATCTTGGATCTTTTTAAACGTAATAAAGCTGGTGACTGTTTTACAAGCGCTAAACAGCAGGATTTGGGCAGGTTCGCCAAGGGTCCATAAATTTCACATAAAACAGTATTACAAGTATTACAGCCTATATTAAAGGGGTCATATGATGCTGCTAAAAAGAACATTATTTTGTGTATTTGGTGTAATGAAATGTGTGCATGCGGTTTAAGGTTCAAAAAACACATTTTCCACATACTGTACATTGTTTCTCCTCTATGCCCCGCCTTTCTGAAACATGTTGATTTTTACAAAGCTCATCGGTCTGAAAAGCGAGGTGTGCTCTGATTGGCCAGCTATCCAGAGCGTTGTGATTGGCCGAATACCTCAAGCGTGTAACGGAAATGTTACACCCCTACCATACTGTGATGCTCTGTCCGGCCGGAGCGACGAGACAAACATTAAAACCCATTATTATAAACGAGGCATTTGTTTCATCCAGTGGGGACATAATTACGGATTATAATTACTTATACTGTCTTTTTACGCGTTGCATCGCGCCGTGTAATAGGGCTGTGCGATTAATCGAAATCGCGATTTGAGACATTGCAATTTCCTAATCGCAAAGCCTGCGATATGGACGCGATATTACTCTGTTCCAGAGCATATGCATGACAGCCTTGAGTTGCAGTCTTACTAACCAATAGAGAGCGAGCGCACATCCGTTCTCCCCAATCAGCACTGCTCTAGCCAACTGCGTAAACACCCACCATCAAAAAAAACAAAGAAAAAAAAAATCCAGAAACCGGGAGCGAGACAGAGTGGGATTATGGCGTCTACTGGGTCAGATCGATAGTTAGGCAAATTAAAACTAAAGAAAAACGTATGCAACTTAAGCTTCGAAATGACAGACAATGAACAAAAAAAAAAAGGTAATTTCCAAGAGCTGCTGTCACAGCGTATATCAAGGGCTCCCTTATCGGTTCTGTTTTCAGTACTGGAGAATAAAAGATACATTCTTAGATGTTTTTGTTAGTAAGTGAACGTTATCTTACACATTTTATCTCCCCAACAGATTAATTTGAAAAGTTTATAATGCATGTTGGCTATTCCCAATTCAGAAGAGTGCACACACAGCCTGTGTCTGTGAATGCTTCTCATACTCGCACCTCTCTGCCCCACGCGGCGCGAATCTAAACCTTGAAATTAAACCTTCAGCACATTTTCCACTTGCTCTTAATATCCCAAATACTTAAAATTAATAAATCAGCCAATGTAACATATGTAATACTTTAATAATTGACTTAAGAAACAGTTCTTTATTTATAAAAAATAAACAAATATTTTCTGTGAAATTCAGTAAAGTAGTTATAATCTTGCCTGCTAAAAAAAAAAAAAAAAAGAAAACAATAGAACCCCCACAAAGCAGCTCCGCACTCATAAACGCAGTTTTATCAGGAATTATAGGTCAAATTAAATTAAAATGCCAACGACACGTTTCTGAGGACCGTCCGTTCCCTTCAGCTACATTCAAATAAAGACACCCGCACCGCATTTTGACTTGAAACGTGCAGCGCTCACATTTATTCAATGACATCATTGCCTTTTGAAGTTTAATCCAGCCATATCGCAACTCTTGTCTTTCCGTCCCCAACTGAAAGACCTCTTGAAATTATAATTAAGACATTTCTTATACCATTTAACATTTAAACATTTTTATGGCCTTAAATTTGATAACTCGCTTTAGGAGTTTTTAAGGACCCGCAGAAGATCTGTATTTAAGATAGCCTTGAGTTGCAGTCTTACTAACCAATAGAGAGCGAGCGCACATCCGTTCTCCCCAATCAGCACTGCTCTAGCCAACTGCGTAAACACCCACCATCAAAAAAAACAAAGAAAAAAAAAATCCAGAAACCGGGAGCGAGACAGAGTGGGATTATGGCGTCTACTGGGTCAGATCGATAGTTAGGCAAATTAAAACTAAAGAAAAACGTATGCAACTTAACCGCGTCACAGACGAGCCGTTCATGCTTGCCGCACTCACACAGCCTGCCTCGTAATGCTCGTTTATACTCGCACCCGGCTCCGCAAGTCTCCACTCCACGAGTGCATCTGGCAGTATGGATGAGGCTTGACGCACGCACAACCTGTGTCGACTCGCGCCTGGCTCCGCGTTTAAAACAAATGTTAAACCTTGAAATTAAACCTTCAGCACATTTTCCACTTGCTCTTAATATCCCAAATACTTAAAATTAATAAATCAGCCAATGTAACATATGTAATACTTTAATAATTGACTTAAGAAACAGTTCTTTATTTATAAAAAATAAACAAATATTTTCTGTGAAATTCAGTAAAGTAGTTATAATCTTGCCTGCTAAAAAAAAAAAAAAAAAAAAAAAAAACCCCCCCCCAAAAAAAAAGGGCTCCCATGGGCCCGGGGGGGGGGGGGACAAGCGTTGTGATAGATTAATTTTGTTTGCGCCAGCGGCGCTGCACACACACACAAAGCCACAGCTCGGCTCGGACAGCACGTGAGTAGGCTAAACAAATATTTTCTGTGAAATTCAGTAAAGTAGTTATAATCTTGCCTGCTAAAAAAAAAAAAAAAAAGAAAACAATAGAACCCCTCCCAAAACAACAAAAATGTTATGGATTTCAGGGTTATAATGTGAATTTGTTTGGTTTTAATGTAAACTATAATGGTGTCTATTGGTGGGATGTAATCTGGCAGATGGCAACCAATAGAACAACAGTAATTCCTATTGGAATAATGCCCAAAACAAAAAGGAATTTTGTAATGGTTTAATGATTTAATGGAAACTATAAGAACTTCTGTGATGGTTTCTATTGTTTTTTTCAGCAGGGTAATGATACCCATACTGTGCTGCACATTATTGGCAATATTGAGCTGAAGCTTGACTTTGCAAATTTAAAGGGGTCATATGATGCGATTTCAAGTTTTCTTTTCTCTTTGGAGTGTTACAAGCTGATTGTGCATAGATAAGATCCCTGAAGTTGCAAAGACTAAAGTCTCAAAACTAAAGAGATATTCTTTATCAAAGTTAAGACTCTGCCACGCCCCCCCAAAATGGCTCGTTCTAACACGCCCCCACATATCTACCTCACTATGTGGAAATATTAGCATAATGCCGCCCAAATGTTCACGCAAAGAAAGAAGGCGTGGTTTCAGTAACCGCAGTTAGTGTTGAAACAGCCATGTCAGGAAGACGCTGTTTGTTTCAGTGCGAAAGCAAAAGCACTTTATTTGGCCTTCCGAAAGTAGATGCATTTAGGAATCTTTAAGATTACTTACAACAGAACAGCAATGCATTTTATGGACGACCGTTTCGTGAACCTAGGAGAGGAGGTAATTCATAATCAGCTACGGTTTTGTTATTAGTTTAAGTATTTGCTACTGACTGTTCAAATGCGGAGTTTTGCGCATCGTGTGTGTGTGTGCGCGCGAGCGAGAGAGGGGTGTGTGTGTGTGTGTGCGCGAGCGAGCGAGAGAGCGCGCGAGAGAGATACATCACAGTGGAGTCAGCTGTCTTAACCGTGGCTTGTGCAAACACATATTCATCACTGTGTCTGTCAGGAGACTCTGTTCCCCTTTCGGGCTCTGTCTTTACCTTTATTTTGAAAGATGAAGCTCGCGATTAGGGTAAGGGGCGTTACATTTCCGACGAGTACTTGAATGCCCTCGCGCACATACCCACCTTTCCTCTTTGTTTGGGCATAATGGTTCAATCCTGCTGATAAACTAACTGGCTGAACGCAGCGATAAACGTTAACCATCCAGGCCAGAGCTAGGCGTTTATAGAAAGACTTTGTCATGTGTATTGTTTAAGGTAGTAATGGTCGATGACTGCGTGTGTTCACACAAAGCCATGGGAGTTAAATGAAGCTCTGTGTCACCTAGTCTGTATTAGCGGCCGCTTTCAACCTAACGTTAGCTAGCCGAGCTCAAAACAGCTATTCATCCAAACTGCATAATCAACTACAGCCCAAACCCACAACTATACCATCCATCAAGAAACAACCTTATACAGCTATTGTAGCTGTATAAGGTTGGAATTTAAAGGTTGGAATTTAAGGGGGAATTAAATTAACGGACTGTCGAAATTCAAATACCCACTAAATTAGCTGGTTAGCTGAGATTAAACAACCCCCCATTCCCCTCCTCCATGTCAAACAAACCGACATTAAATGGCGAGAATCAAGCATTTTACCACCTGGAGTTAGCCTGTGTTCTCCACCCATAGACTGGGGCGACATCGAGTGTGACGGGCTCTCTGTTGACGGGCGAAGACTGCACCTCTGCGGGGAAGGAGTAGTCGGAGTCCCCGGTAGAGGATTGCACCTCCTCCGCTTGGGGGACTGCGGGCTGAGAAGGGGGTCAGATTATACACAGGTTTGTTTTTTCACCCAGTAATTTTAGACATTAAATCATATTTAATTTGTTATTAAGCAACAAAAACATACACGCGATACAAAGTGTAGTGCATAAATATAAAACATATATTAAAATATCTTTACTTTTTTAGTAAATCTACTACAGTAGTAATCGTCCCAACCTATGATAATAGGTCTGTAGCCTATCGGTCCAAATAATGAAAGTGATAGTTATACTTACTCAGGTTTACGCTTGCCATTGTTTAACTTTTCCTGTATAAACAGGCCTCCTGCGCCAACGTTTATGTGCAATAACTTGTTTACTATAAATTAATATAATATTAACAATAAGTTCCATATACGATCATTATCTACCTTTTGTATATTTCTAATTTAAACAGTCTTTACATGCACACTGAACTCTTTCAATTTACCTAAACTCCTTGTGGATCAGTAGCCTATTTTATAACTCTTAGAAACAAAACTTTCAATTTGAGAAGCTTTGATCTCAGATGCCCACTCCTCCAACAGCTTAATCCTGATTGGTGCCTTGCAGTTTTATGACTCTGATCAACATTTTTTGAGTGCAATAGTTTATTTAGCAAATGGCCATTTTTCTGAAGGATTTGCATATTGGTTACTGTTAGGTTTCAAAGCAGTCTTTCAACTCACAAGGAATCATTTCCTTACCGTCTCGTCACATTTAAACCACCTATATGTTCTGTAGAGACACACAGTGTGGGTGGGGTCATTTCACACTTTTGACTCCTTATGAATATCACACTTATTCACATACCAACATTTGTCAATTTTGACCCAATCCAATGAAAGTACCATAAAAAGTAAAACATGAAAAATAGCACAGAATTTTGTAGGCCAAATTGCTAAATAGATAAGTTGATATATTAATACAATTTTCATAAATATGTCTAAAACAATATAGAGCTCCTCAAACAATGCTGTTTAAATAAATTGAAGGTTGACATCTAGAAAATGTTTTTATTGATGTATTAGACAATTAATTAGAGTAAAGTAAGTATGCATTTATTAAACAATGTAGCAGTACATTTTTATAGTCATGACATACAGTATTTTATATAGTACTTGGTCTAAATACAATAATACAGCAGAACTTCTTCAACTTGAAGTTAATATAAGAAATTAACATAACAATTACATAGCATTTTGCATTCATAGCAGACTCTTTCCAACATATAAGAATATACTTAGTGTATCATAACAGTTACAGCAGTGTGAAGCAACATTTTTGTTCGCAGTCATCAATAAAGCTGAAGGTATTTTGTTTCACAGGGTAATCTATATATATTTTGGCGTCTTTTACGCTTGGGTCAAAATGTAGCTGGTGAGTCAGCTGTTCTAAATGTGTGTTTATAGGTTTGATTTCACTACTATAAAAAGGTGCTTAGAGAAACAACATTATACATGGATAGCTGATCACAATAGCCACATTATGCAGACCTATTGTATGTTCCTAAAAAATAAAATATTTTAGATTTTTAAATAGTTTTTAAAACACATTCTGTTTACAAATATATTAGCTAAAATATAGCTAATGTCTTTCTTAACGTGTCAAATGAAGTCGTCTCAATACATTCTACTCCTAAAAATATACAAAATACAATTTATAAAGAGTATTTCAAGCAGTAAAATTCCATGTGTGTCTGTGCACGTTAAAATTCTTAAGTTCTCGTTAGTATGCAAACCTTCTTCATTTGATATTTTCATATTTTTCACTGCTATTTATTTGATATCCTGCAATTTCATATCACAAAACAATGTTTTCTGGAATTGGGAAACGTACAAAAAAAAAATATATATATATACACATCTATAATATTCATACAATGAATGCTAACCTAAATTATAATCCTGATTTAAAATGTATTAAAAGTTGGCAAATTATTAATACGAAAAGGACGTTAAGTCATATTTATGTGCTGTTTTACTGCTTGTCTACGCTTTCAGAAATAGTATCTGGGTTACTATCACTAACAGCCTGATCTTTGCTCTTTTTGCTAATCCCAGAACCATTTTCCTTTCTTTGGCCACGAGTGTTTCCCAACGTACGTTCCCTGCATGCCTTGCAACATGCCAACAATGCAAACAGTTCTGCCCTCAGCTCTTTGCAGCGTAGGGCATATAGAAGCGGGTTTACACACGAGTTGACCAGGCAAAGCGTGCAACAGAAAGCGAACATTCGTTGTTGTTTGTCTGTAAGGATCACGGTGACATCCACCATCATAAAGGACAGGACAGGCAGCCAACAAACAGCAAGGATTAGGAGAATCAGACTGAAGGTACGTGCAAGTTGAATGTCCATTCGCATTCGAGCCTGTCCTTTCACGCTCTGCCTCCCCGACTTTGGTCCACCCATAGCTGCTTCATGGCGATTTGCTTTCCACAGGATGAGGACATAAGCCACTATGATAAGGAAGAGCACCACAAGTTGTAGGCCCGTCCAGAAGGCCAGGTAGTGATCATCCACATAAGGGAAGAGAAGGGAGCACGGAGGATGAAACTCGGTTGCGCACCTCCAACCCATCAGAGGAAGAAATGAAATTATAACCGTTGTACACCATAATAATACAATAGCCAGCTTGGCTCTAGTGCGTGTCAGTAGCACCTTGTAATTGGAAGCCTGGTAGATGCAGAGATAACGGTCCAACGCTGTCAGCAACAGGCTTCCCACAGAACCAGTGAAAGCCATTGTGACACCACCCAGCTTGAACAGAGAGATATTAGGGCCATCACTCTTACTATAAAGATGGAAATCTAGAAAACTGATGGTGAAGAAACAGCTGGCAAAGGTGTCAGCTAGTGCCAGGCTGCTGATGAACAGATACGATGGCCGTCTGCGCAGAGTGGTGGAGCTTGCAATGACCAACAGGACCAAAATATTCTCCAGGAATGTCACAGGGCCAGCTATCAAACAGATTGAGCTAATAGCTTTCTTCTCTGATTCGTTCAGGACCATGTAACACTCTAGGCTGTTGCACAAGCTTGCACCTGTAACAGTACGGATCAAAATTTACTCACCTTTTAGGATGAACAATTAATATACACAGCAAAATCCCCGGAGTTAAATCAACTCTGGGGATTTTGCTTCCAATCATTTTATCAATATTTAAAATATTTTCATGTTTTTTAATTAATATTTGAATTACAGTTATTTTTTAAATAAATTCAAAAGTTTGGAATCAGTATGGTTTTTAATGTTTTTGAAGTCTCTTATGCTCACAAAGGCTGCATTTATTTGCATTTATTTATATTTGTTTCAGAATTCCTTAATTAAACAGCATTTATTTAAAGTAGATGTATTTATTTTATGTAAAAGTCTTTACTTTCACTTTTCATCAATGTAGTGCTTTCTTGCTAAATAAAAGAATAAATTTAATTTTAAATAAAACTTACTCACTCCAAACTTTTGAACGGTAGTGTTTGTTGATTTATTATTTATTTTGTAATGTTTAAATGTGCAAACTAGTATATTTGTCACAACAAAACTTGAAAAGACAGACCATAGAAAATCTTTATGAGAAATAATACCTATGTTTGTAATGTTTGGTGTACTTTCATTTAAATAAAGCGCAGTGGTAGCTTCTTGATTTTGTTCCAATTCTGTCTCCATTTTCCCCAGGACAGAAATGGTCTGTTAAAAATAAATAAATGACAAATGGTTAAAAAACAGCAGACACAATTATTCATGTGCCTCATGTGACTACTGCCAATAGAAACATGAAAAAAAGTTGTTTGAATTTGAAGTTCTGAATATGACATGATTAAGAGAGATAAACCACACTCACAAAACCCATTTAAAGTCGAACATGTCTCCAAGCAACATGTATTAATGCACTCTATAAATAAAACTGCATTATTCAGACTACATGGCTTAGATTTGGAAGAGAAGTGAAGTTATCCTTAATGTAAAATAATAAGCCTGTCCCACATGTCTATTCAGGACATTTTTGAATATAAACTACTGGTCACTGTGCCCTAAAACTGTTCAATAGATTAGAATGTTAGATAACGCCCCCTGCTGGGCAAAAGACGACACGAGTTTATTACAAGAGAAGGATTGACAAATAGTTCGTATTTTCACAATTATCCACTAGAGAAAAAAAAGAGCATAGAAAAGATTAAGCATAGGAATTTTTTTGTTGTTCTGTAATTACCTTACAAGCATAGTGCAGAAAGCAGACACATTCTTTGATTAAGTATAGAATAAAGACTAATCTGTTTAGTTTGGTAAATAGTTAAATGAAAAAGCCTGCTCTTAGAGGTTATTTTTCACTGTTCCCTCCTTCCACTTTCACTTTATTTATCCTTTCCTTACAAGAAGCAATAATATTATTCTTTGTATCCTCCCACATATTCATCACAAGGCATATTAGCTCCATGCCATCTCAATGTTCTTAAAATTTCTGAAAATATTGGAAAATTTTCAGTTAAAGCTACTTCTGGTGTTAGCTCCAACAGAAGGGCTTCCCCTCAGAGTCTTGGTTCCTCCCAATATTCCTTCCTCGTGTATTTTTTCCTAACCATTTTCACCTTTGGTGGCTCACTGGGGGTCAAAAGGCATGATTTTACTTTATACCTTAAGTTTCCTATTTTCTGTAAAGGTGCTTTAGAACAATGTGTATCGTGCCAATGCCAATATTGGTTTGAACTGAACAAAATAAGACAAAGGTCTTTACAAAACACAGTTTTGCTTTCAGAAGCTGCTGTTATTTGAAAACTTAAACACCGAAAAAAAACATACTGTATGCAATAAAAATGTGTCACAAAAATGTAATCAGGCTACAGCTCTTTCACACTCACAAGTGAAACGTAGGAAGTTCTTAAAAACATATTTGTCATTTAATAACACACTATGACATATGGCTTACAAATAAAGACAAGAAAAAAACTGCTGTTCATTAGTACCCATTAGAGTTGTTTAATTTCACACTGGATTTTTGCATAGCCTACACATTGAT